AATCATTATTTATAATTGGAAAACATAATAATGGAAAATGTGATTACTGTGGAGAAGATGAGGATATAGAAAATTTTGGTATTGCAAAAAATACCAAAATGAAAGAAATCAATTGATTAAAAGACCCAAAGAAATTAAAACAAGATTTGATATTATAGAAATATTACAAAGCAATTCAAATTCTGAAACCTTTCAATTGTTATTAAAGTTTTTAAGACAGACTCGATTGTATGAAATAATATAGTTTTTTTTGAGAGCTGTTCCAGTCCACACTCCACAYCAGTAGGTGGCGGTAATGCACCTTAACGTTGTTTGCCAACTGCCAAAAAATAACTAAGAAGAAGAAGAAGAAGAGTTCTTCGCTGATGCATCGTTTACCTTTGGTATGATTCTCAGCCCCTCATGAGATTTTTCTTAGAGATTTTATAATCCTGTTGTTCTTTGTGCTCACATGCCTTTTGAGCTCTACCTGGACGATCTTCCTCTTGTAATCCCGAAGCCCCTGAAAGAGAGCCACTCACATGTCCTTGTGCTGCGCTGCCTGTCTGCCTCTAAATGGAAACAACACCACTTACCTCAGAGAACCTCTTCTCACCTGGATACCTTGGACCAACTTCTCAGTGCTGAGCCTTCACCTCCCTCCTTTAATAACAAAACTTATTCCCCTGCAAAACCCTCTTCATTTATTTATCTGCTCCATTACTCACCAAGACCCTCTTCCCTTCAGGACTGAACCCCAAAACCACATCACCTGTAAATAAAAGCACTTACTTTTTTTATTCTGTCTCTGCGTCTGTTTGTCATTGCATTGCTCAAAAGTTTGACTAAAACCTCGTACCTGATAAAACCTAAAATTACATGTTGGATTTACTTAATAGGAGGCAATGTTGGTATCCTAAAAAGCTGGAAATTGTTGTGACAACTTTTAAAGTTGAGTCAACAAAACATTTTTAGAGTGTACAGCTAGCTGATGCAACTGCTTTCAAATACCTATTGACGTCTATTTAAATACCAGTTAAATGAGACGCTTATGCTGGAGTAATTGTTTGTATAAATTACCATGTAAAGATTTTAAGAGTTCCACTTCAATCCACTTAAATCTCTGAGTAACAGTTCTATAAGCTTTTGTTGCAGCGTCGACACGAGTGAAGGAGTAAATGAGATCATAACACCAATGACAAACTCTCTTTAGAAAAAACTTCACACTTATAAGGGTCACCCTGAGGGCTTTACATTTTTATAACAGCAGTCAAACTGACATTTTATTGGGCTGTCAAATTTGTGTAACCTGCATGAGACTTTTGTCAAATCGACTTGAAAGGCTTTAAACTATTAATTGTAAAACAATAAAAGACATGGAAATCAAATTAAATTCAGTTAAAGAAGTAAAAAGTCACGTCCAGTCCAATCTGGCTCATAACTTAATCTCTGCCCTTTAGCAAAGTCAACGGTCCTGTGTGTGCTCCCAATCTGTGTTTATTGTGAAGGTCAGAGTTATTTCAGAAATGTTCTGTTCAAAATGATCGGAGGTAGAAGAGGGGACCTGTCTGAGTGAATCTGTCCTCTCGTCCAATGATGGCTGACCTAGATCTATTTCTTGTGACCCTGAACACGATGAACTGGGTACAGAGACTGCGTGGATGATGACACACACTCAGAGCCTGCAGGGTGTAAACATGCACAGAAAAACATAACAATCACCTGCAGCCAGTGTTGTAGGTGGTGTTTTTACTCCTGCCTGGAGAAAGGGGTCTCTATAGTCCCTAAGTGGGAGGTTCTTGATGTGTGGGTGGAGTTCATCAAAGATTTGATTGGTTGGAATGACTATTTTGGTTGGGATTTAAAGAAACTGGAATGATTCGGTTGGATAAACACTAAGTTGAAACGACCAGAAAGCACAGATATTTTAAAAAACAAATATTAATTTTAGTAATAATGCAAGACTAGAAGGTGCTAGCTGTCCATGTGGAGGAATGTGTAATGAGCTCGACGCATGGGGAGCAACAAACAACATCGATTAACGGCTGTCATGTCAACCAGGGTGAAACCCAACAATTGGCAGAGTGCAAATCGTGCTCTCAGGTTGCTTATCTTCAAGAAATTTGATTGGTTCTTCTACTGTTTCTTGTAAAGGTTATTGGTGGTTGGTAAAAAATAAACAAATAAAAAGAATGGTGTGCATTACAGATGTGTAAACTAAACAAATCTTGCGATGCTAATGGTATTGAAAAACTAATGCACATCAAGATACAGTTTTATGCGGAAAACCTTATGGGACAACTTCATCCTGGCACCAACAATTTCCCATTCAACTGTCTTTTTATGTGTGTCTCAGGAATCACTTGGTGAAGTGTCATAAAAAACTGGAAAGTTTGACAGAGCGGTAGCTAACTGCAGTGTGTAGCATACTCTCCACTCTCCACTCAACAGAAGAAGTTTGCTTTCCTGGAAACTCGACTCTCTCCGCGGTGCACATCGCTTGGACAGCACACCGCTTCCAAAGCAGAGGGGCGGGAGACAGAGAAGTGGGTGAAGAATTTGTTTGACAGACAGCTCACCCAGCCAGAAACTGAAATCCTTGCCAGGGGACTGAACTTNTGTGTTCAATACTTTTTCCCTGTGCCATCCCACATTATTACAAATAACTTCATTTTTTGGACATTTATGGTTTGATTTCTTTGTAAGTATGGATCACTTGGGTTGTTACCGACATCTGGTGAAAATTTCATGTCATTAGYACCTCTAGTAATATATTTACTGAGAAAAATGTTGATGTGTTCAATACTTATTTTACCTGCTGTATATAAATAAGGAGGTGATCGGCCAACTAGTCATAGTCAGCACACCTTCTAGGAAATACCACAAACACTATATCTGTTTGGGTTGTATTATTGTATAAACATACATATATACTGTTCAGCTTTTTTTCAAAAAATCATTTAGAATTCAAATAACTTAGATCCAAGTCATTAAATTGACACGAATGAATAACCCCCAATAAACAGTCCATTAAGATAACTGGTGTGATTCACTTCACAATAAAAACATATAATCCATACTGCTGCTGTGTGCTCTTAAAATGTTTTTCGCAGTACAACCAGCAGGAACTGCGTTGTGCTTCTGGTTTTGAGTTCATGAAAGCTGCATTTAAGAGCTTCTAAACCAGACCCAGAATCTGGGCTCAAAATACAGACAGGCAAAATGCTGAGTCTGAAAATAGCAAGGCTTCCCACAAACTCTGCAGCAGGACGCGGAATTATATATACACGAGACTGGATCTTTAATGTCAGTATATAAAATAATTTTATATTTTAAAATTTGTGAAACTTTAAAATTGCATAAAATGGGGGTGCTGAAGACATGAGTTGTTGCAGCCAGTGAACAAAGTAACATGAATAAAATAATGAAATGGAGATAAAATATAGAATAAAGTGGCAGAAATGGGAAAAAATAACTTTTGTGAGAATAAAAATATTCATAGTTCAGGTTGTGATAAAAAAAAAAAGTTATGGTGAAGTTGTTCCTAAGAAGAAAAATCAAGGAAAAAAATCATTTTTCCTTCCACACTTCCACCTTTCCACACTTGTAGCTAAAACTAGAACAAAAGTTGTCAATAAGAGAAATTAAAATGCAATAAATGTTAATCAGCATAGATTTTTTTAATCTCAAATGATTTGTGCAGATTTAACAGATAAATTATTCAACATAGATGTTTAAACTTATCTAAAGCTTAGATAAGTCTGATAATGGTGACAACACAAGCAGTCCCCTTTAATGAATACAAGTTCATGCTACAGTTTGATTTTAATCCACAACCAAACTTCATCCAGCTGGTAAATAATCACATTTTAAAACAAATTCACATAGAAAGAAAATCAGAAACCTGAATATTTTCATATCTTCTCAAATAGCCAACAGTAAAATCAGAAGGCGGCTCATTAAACCCCAGCTGCACCAATCGACATCTAAATAACACAATTTTTGTACGCAAGAAAATTAATTTAAAGGGATTTCCACACGTTTATATTCTCCTTTCTTGACCTAAAATATTGTAACAAAATCAATGTGCTCAGAATGAAGCGTTTACACAAGATAAATAAAGATAAATTTGGTAAAACATTGACAGAAGGAATGTATATTTGTGTATGTTGTGAGGAATAAATGAAAGTTCCAATTTAAGTTCAGTTGCATCAATAAATAAAACAAATTCAACAATTTATGGTAGTAAAATGTCTTCTCTAACACCCACAAATCTCATTTCAACTTCTAATCCAAGCGAGGCAAAGATTAAACAGAAAATATAATATATGAATGATGCACTAACAGCTGGGATAAAAGCACATAATCACTGTGGCTTCAAGTACAGATAACTGAAGAGGAGACTTTGTTCCACTCAGTCCAGCAATACAATCTGAGATAAACGTTTTAGTAACGTTTCCCTGAATTCAGTCTTGTCCAGGACAGTTTTACTTGTTTTGGTCCTTTTAGAATCACAAGCTGTCAGAAAGTTATGGAAAAAACAAAACAGGAAAATTAAAGGAGAAACAAACGGAGTGGAAAATGTTGACATCATAAAGAGCCAACAGTGGTCTTTCTGCATGGTTTTCACACAATGCTGCACTGAAACCAAAACCACAAAGATGTGACGATCCAAACACAAATAAACCACCATGCACACTTTTCACATCTGCCGGGAAGAACAGAAGCCTTCTACCATGAATCTTTGTCTTAAAGAGTCAGAGCAGAAGAAAAAGGAAGGTTTGTCCCCACCTAAAGCTTGGCTCATCTAAATTAAAAATTAATTTGCTCAGAATTCATAAGATTTAATTTTTTTTCAATCTTTTAGAAAGTTTTACTGCATAGCTGCAACACCGGTTAAAATATTTTAAATACAATTTATCATATTGTACCAAATTTGACCCAAAACATCAGTTTTTATCCAAACTCCATCCTTTCTTATTTTATCCAGACCCAAGGTTTATTATGTAAGGCCTCAGAAGATTGAGAGTCAGATGATGGATTTTTGGTTCTAAAAGTTAAAGTGGAAGCAAATGATTTATGCAAATTGGAAGAGAGTAAATGCCAAGTACACTGTAAAACAAGTACCTAATAAACACCTAAGTTCTGAGAACAAACTTCATGATTTCTGACTGGAGTACTGCAGTTTTTGCTTTCCTACTTTACCACTGCAACCCATTCAAAAAATAAAACTGAGTCAATATTCATAATTATTTGGCTTGGCTCAATTCTGCCATCCATGATCTGACTCTCAAGGTAACAGAAATTAATTTCTTGTCAGTCTTTGGGCCGTGAGCTGCAGAGGTGATAGCCGTGTCAGTATCTGAGATCAGATCAAATTTCCAGAGTCACGATGTTTGCCAAAGAGTTGGTGTCCATTTTAAATCTGCAGCACCAGGCCAGCAGCTGAGATGTTGTCCCCTCCACCAGCAGTCTGATAAACCTCGGTGCACACCAGCACTGGTGCCACACAGATCTGGTAGTCGTCCTCGTCCCAGCAGCTGACAGGTCTGGTTTCCTGCAGAGGGATCCTCTGGCTCCCCTTACGGTGACTGACAGAAAACGAGTCATCCATGATGAGCCTGGCCTTGCTGGGGTCGATGTCGTTCGAGCCGCAGACGTGACGGTTGGCGGTGAGCGAGGCCTTGGCGATGGCCGACATGGTGTTCTTCCACTGAGAGCTGCGGGTCACGATCATGGCCTGAAAGGCCAGCGTGTGGACGTGAAGGCGGGTCAGCGGCTTACCTCTCGACCCGGCACTGTCCCAGTCGCCGTCCGTGTGGCGCTGGTTCAGAATACGGTAAACTTCCCTCATCTGGTCGAGGACCGTGGCTACGCGAGGGTTTGGATCTGACAGCACGGTGATGTTGGAGCCTTTGAGTAGGCTGAGGAGGTTAGGAAGTTCTTGTTCATTCATCCCCAAAGAGTCCGCCTTGGGCAGAGGAAAGAAACATTAAAAACACACTGAAGCAACCTTTTTTCTCCACACATCACCATGTAGAAAATAACTGCAAACATAAAGAGACAAATTCAACTGTGTGAAAGAAAAATCAATCATATGGAGGTTTTCTTTACACTGCCTCTCTGAAGAAACAAAGTTTTTCTAACTGCATTAGTGTGTTCATTCTAGCTTTAATCTGAGTTTTACTTGCACTGTTCAGTCAAACGTACATGGGGGATGACGTAGTGCAGAAGGTCTTCCACAATACTTTCATCCACAAAACTGGCCATCTCAAAATGTATGCCGATCTGAGAAGACGAGGAGGACAGCAGGTTTTCCAGCCGAGAGAGGACGGCCTCTCGCTCACCTGGAATAAAGAAAAAAAAAAGGTAGAAGGTCAGACAGAAACTGTAGACACAAAAAAGCAGATAAGTGAAGGAAAAAAAGAAGTATACTGAGCAATTATGGCTGGGCGGTATGACCTCAAATTCATATCACGGTATAAATTTGGATCCCTTCACGGTAACTGTATATATCGCAGTAGAAAATTATCATAAAAAGCAAAGATAATGTACAGAAAACTGTAATCATCATCAAAGCCAATACTTTTGCTGTAGTGTAAATGAACATAACAGAAGTACAGAATAATGTTTTATATATTGTAAAACGGTTTCAACAACAAAAACATTTCTCAAATTTTCAACAATATCAAAATAAAGTGGATGTTATAACCAGTGCTTCAAGTAAAAATAGTCATTTAGACATTAAACAATTCTATGTTGTCTAAAACATTATAGTGTGACAGGACCTTAAGCTGCACATAGTCCTGTCAAAACTATTTCAGATAACTGGAATGCAAGTGTGGTGAAGCCAAATAAATGTAACATCTGCCTGCCATAGCCTGCTGAACTTATTGGCTGCTGCTCTGCTGCGCTCTCATTTTCAGAGCAGAAGCCGACTTTAGCCTACATTAGCAAGATGGATTTATGACTGAACGAACATCCACGTCTTTTTCATCACCTCTGTGAGTAAAAATACAGAAAAACCAAGTTTTTTCTCCGACAACTTGGGTGTGAAAAAACTACGGCTTCGCTCTGCGCAACGTGCAGCGGGAGGGAGGGAGGAAATGATCCCACATCCTGCGACACGACATAACTTTTCTACAGCGGCAGGGGGGAATTTTGAGGATTTATTCTCTCTATACAGTGGGTAAAATAAGTATTGAACACGTCAACATTTTTCTCAGTAAATATATTACTAGAGGTGCTAATGACATGAAATTTTCACCAGATGTCGGTAACAACCCAAGTGATCCATACATACAAAKAAATCAAACCATAAATGTCCAGAAATGAAGTTATTTGTAATAATGTGGAATGGCACAGGGRAAAAGTATTGAACACATGAAGAAAGGGATGTGTAAAAAGGCATGGAAAGCCAAGACACCAGCTGAACTCTCTCAGTAATTAGAAAACAAGCCTGCCCCTTGTCAGTGCAAGTTAATATCAGCTGGTTCAGTCCCAGATGATGGCCAGGTATCACACAAGAACCATCTGATGATGGGTAAAAGTAAAGAGCTCTCTCAAGACCTTCACAACATTATTGTTGCAAAGCATAATGATGGCATCGGTTACAGAAGAATGTCTAAACTTCTGAAGGTTCCAGTGAGCACTGTTGGGGCCATAATTCAGAAGTGGAAAGAACATTATTTCACCATAAACCGACCATGACCAGGTGCTCCTCACAAGATTTCTGACAGAGGAGTGAAAAGAATTATCAGAAGAGTTGTCCAAGAGCCAAGGACCACTTGTGGAGAGCTTCAGAAAGACCTGGAATTAGCAGGTACGTTTGTTTCAAAGAAAACAATAAGTAATGCACTGAACCACCATGGCCTGTATGCACGCTCACCACGCAAGACTCCACTGCTGAAGAAACAGCATGTTGAAGCTCCTTTAAAGATTACTGCACAACATTTAAACAAGCCTGTGTAATACTGGGAGAATATAGTCTGGTCAGATGAGACCAACATTGAACTGTTTGGATGCCAGAATACACATCATGTTTGGAGGTCAAATGGYACTGCACATCAGCCCAAAAACACCATACCAACAGTGAAGTTTGGAGGTGGGAACATCATGGTGTGGGGCTGTTTTTCAGCATATGGTACTGGCAAACTTCAAATAATTGAAGGAAGGATGAGTGGAAAAATGAACAGAGACATTCTTGATAAAAATCTGCTTCCATCTACCAGGATGATGAAGATGAAACGTGACTGGACATTTCAGCAAGACAATGAGCCCAAACACAAAGCCAAGGAAACTCTCAGTTGGTTTCAGAGAAAGAAACTAAAGCTGCTGGAATGGCCCAGCCAATCACCTGACCTGAATCCAACAGAAAATCTATGGAAAGAACTAAAGATCAGAGTTCATAGAAGAGGTCCACGAAACCTTCAAGATTTGAAGACTGTTTGTGGAAGAATGGGCCAAAATCACACCTGAGCAATGCATGCCACTAGTTTCTCCATACAGGAGGCGTCTTGAAGCTGTCATTGACAACAAAGGCTTTTGTACAAAGTATTAGATAAATTTCAGTAAGTGTGTTCAATACTTTTTCCATGTGCCATTCCACATTATTACAAATAACTCCATTTCTGGACATTTATGGTTTGATTTCTTTGTATGTATGGATCACTTGGGTTGTTACCAACATCTGGTGAAAATTTCATGTCATTAGCACCTCTAGTAATATATTTACTGAGAAAAATGTTGACGTGTTCAATACTTATTTCACCCGCTGTAAGTGTTTTAAAACACTAATTTCTTCATTATATTTCGAACTCCTCCTGCTCAGTTGTCTCTGCACTCACAGCCCTTTTGACACAGATGTGATGATGCAACTGTCGACAGGACGGTAGAGAGTAAATTTCTACCGTAGGCCAACTTCATATTGTTTCTACCATCTACCGCGCAGCCCTAAGAGCAATGTACTCAGACCAGGGCTGGACAAGATTTTACAATATAACTCTTAATTTGGGTCAACACAATATCATTTCAAAGACAAGATAAAGCAAGCCAGCAGTTACTGTGCTGAAGATTTAAATGAGGTGACGAGCTGCTGACGTGATCATTTTGACATATTTGTGGGCACACAATCCCTGCAACTTCCTGTTGCTCCTAGACAACAGTACATAATTTTTTACTGATAATGGTGTGTTGGTTGAAACAACTGTGCTGGATGTGGGGAAGTTTTTTCATTTATTCCTGACAGTCATCAACAAAAGAAAAAGGCACCAAGGAGAAGCAGCTGAAACGCTATCATCAAGCAATGTGAGTTATGGTTGACCACGTTTAACTGTTGAAGATTTCACACCATCCCAGCATTCCAGAGTGCTCAGACCAATTCAAAGACAGTATAATATGGCATATTTTGAAAAAAGAGATAGAAGAAAAAAAAAAGGAACCTTAATGAGCAGAAAAAGTGTTCTGGACATTTGTCAGTTTTGCTGTTAACTTTTCTGTTTTGGTTGTTGTTGAATTGGTTCATACTTTAAGCTAAACACTAACAGGCCAAAAACAAAAGATGCCCGGATGTCGTTCAGTGCATTTCCATTGACCATGAAAATGTGCAAATTAGAATTTTGAAAATAAATTTGCTCAATGGAAACGTGTCAATTTAGAAAAAAATTACGTTTTTCGACAAAATGTTTTTGCGCTAGGATGAGGTGGTATTTCGGTTGTATCAAAATTGGTGTTTTTCGCAAAATTGCAATGGAAATACTTTTTTCGCATCACGGGAGTCACGTGATCAACAACCGGCTGTTTCTACTGGTGAAAAAGACAATGATGAAGAAGATAACAGGAAGTAGAAATAGTAGTAATATCACAGAAGTAGTATAAAATAGTAAACTCACCGACGACAATTTCCCAAAAACACAGCATACGTAGCCGCTCCAAAGTAGGAAATTGTCACTGGAAAGCCTAGATAAAAAAGACGCTGACGTCTCCTCTGATGAGCGTTAGTGTCGTGGTAGCAGTATACTATGTATTTACATCCATCGCCACCATGTTTGTAATGACTTGTCGCGAGAACAAACGTATTCACGCGTGACTTTAATAGCATTTCTTACTTAATGGAAACACTGTAGTTGCGAAACTGTGTTTTTTCAACATTAACAGAATATCGACAAAGCTTTGCGCACGTTTGCAACGGAAATGCAGCTAATGAGAAGTATCTATTGGAAGAAAAGCCAATAACTGAAAAAGGAATAGTTTATTTTCTTACCTGACAGGAAAGGGAAGTTGTCCATCATTTGTAGCCCACCCACCACTAACAGATCTGGTCTAAAGTCTTTGAGTTTCTTTGAAAAGTCTTCTATGGAGTCCAAATAGGGGTTGTGGTCATCACTGTGAATGATGTATCTGCAGAAAAAGAGCAAATATGAATATTTGATTATATATCACTGTAGGTTAACACAGAGCCTCAGATGTGTATAAGCGTAAATGCACAAACACCATTTAAGAACATAATCTTTCATTTTCTAAATATATTTTAATGAAATTCTTGTCCTAACGTACCTATTGGCTCTACGAGAAGTGTAGCGCCCCCAGCTAGCACCAGATGAATATTCCAGGATCAGATGAATATCTGGCTCCTCTATCTCTTTACCAGCCACTGATGAGGGGAAAATTTTTGTTTTATAGAAAAAGAGTAAACAAGGAAAAATGAAAGAAGTATTCCATGGAGGAGGAAAAAAAACACGTTATTTTTTTAAGTGTTTCTGCAAGCCAGCATTACAAAAAAGAAAAAGATCCTGCGTGAACCCTCAGTGCTCAGAGTATGTGTTGAGTATGATTCTCAGCTACTACCGCAACAAATTTTAGTTTATAACTGCAAATTTCACAGAGTTACAGCCATTTGTGTGTGTTTAAAGTGCATGTGACATGCCTATCCTTCAAATACCAAAAGTCAAAGAAAGCATCTTCATACTTAACAAAATTGGCATGGTACACATGATTTTACTCATTTTGTCACATAACTGGCCTATTTTCTTTTGAATTTGGCTCAGCCAAAGTGAAACAGGAAGTGACATCAAAGAGGAACTCATTAAAATAAACTCGCTGGTCTCAGTTTATTAAAATTTTTATTTTTTAACTTTAACTTTGCTTCATCTCTCTTTTTGTGACTGAAAATAATCTAAAGAAACAGATTCTTCTCTTCTGTCTGTGTTAGATTTTGTAACAACACTGTTTACATGCTGACATTCCCCTTTGACATCACTTCCTGTTTCTTCTCATGCAAATATCTCAACAACCGCTCATCTGAGTAACGTGAAATTTGTTTTGCAATATGTTAAATGTTATCTTTCCAAAAATGCATTCTTGTTTATTACAAAAATTTGACGTCAAAGACACTTAAAAGCCATCTTGAATCAATCAGTTAGAAATGTTGCATGTTTAATGGCCACTCTGAGCATCTCATTAAATTTGTCCAGTGGTTTGTGTAATATTTTGCCAACAGGCAGAAAAACACAAATGCATGCAGACACAGGTATGAAATAAACGTTGTTTTTTCACTCAGTGTGTTAGTGTATGTACCTGTGATGTGCTGAGACAGAACCTCTGTAAAATCTGTGCTGAAGCTTCCCCCCAACAACACGTCACATCCCTCGGTTGCCATGCGACCTGCCATTACTGGAGCATTGCCACCTACAGACCACCTGTTTCCAGGTAAGTCACGAGCCTCCTCCACCAGCTCACTGAAGAGGGTTTCATTCAACATAAATCGTCTGCAGGATGGAACAAAGAAAATATGCTGAAACATTATTGCTTTATTAAAAGGGATCCCTGATTAGTTGTAACATTAAAGTTTATTTGAAAAACATTTATTTTAACTGTAAAATAAAGACCGTAAAAATACTGTAGGCTGTTTAGTTTTGTAAATTTTTTCAAATACATTTTAACACGGATGGAGCCATTTTATTTACACACAAAGCATTCTGGGTAAATGATGACGTGGATAGGTCCTCGGTGCGAGGCTGCTAGCGAGCTATATCCACCCTGAAGGTTAATCTTGGACAATATCTGATGATCGGCTCTTTTAAATGAAACCAGAGAGCGTTGACAGAGAGGAGAAGGTAGAAATGACTCAGCCTGGAACTGAAAATATAGATGGAGGACAACAGAGCTGCTTCATGGAAGAAGAACCTCAGCTTAGCCTGTTAGCCCTCATGCTATATTGCCTTATATGTATTAGCTCGGTGCTAGTGCGACAAACAAGCTAAACTGAGGTCCTCCATCCATATTTTCAGTTCCAGACTGAGTCATTTCTACCTTCTCCTCTCTGTCAACGCTCTCTGGTTTCATTTAAAAGAGTCGATCATCAGATATTGTCCAAGATTAACCTTCAGGGTGGATATAGCTCGCTAGCAGCCTCGCACACCAATGACTTAGTTGATGTTATCATTTACCCAGAATGCTTTGCGTGTAAATAAAATGGCCCCGTCTGCGTAATATATTTTTAAATTTTTAGTTTCAAAATTATAAAAACTAAACATCCTACAGTATTTTTACAGTCTTTATTTTACAGTTAAAGTATATGTTTATCAAATAAAGTCTAACGTTACAACTAATCGGGGATCTCTTTAATGAGTTGTGCTCCATCTGCATACAGCTGCAGTGTGTTTTGTTTTAAAACTGTGGGGAAAATAAAGTATTAGTCACTCACTCTGCTGCAGCTCCAGGTGCAAAGAAGTATGCAAAGCTCTGAGCCAGCTGCTCCGTATTTTCTAAATAGTCATGATGGAGGGGATTTTCAGTGTGAGAGATGCCAATCTTATTTAGAAATGACACACCATCTACTATCAGGTCAACACAACCTCCAAAACCTGCAGACGAAAGGACCGAAACAGAAATAGTTACTCTGCAACAGCCACTCAGAAGTAGGCTTATAACTTTGTTTTGCATTTAACTAAATATTTTTAAAAAATTGAAAAAAGGAAATGAGACTTGAACAGCAAAGTTATGAAAACAAACAGGCAGGTTTGTGCAGCGTGTCTGTTTAGTAGACAAAGTTTATATTTGAATCAGTTTGAATATTTGTCTTAATCCACCCTAAAGTCAGTTTGCTTTGGCCTCAAGTTGCTTTCTACCAGGGTTGTATAAAGTACCACAAAGTGATACTTGAGTAAAAGTACAAGTATCTTACCAAAAAACTACTTTGGTAAAAGTTAAAGTCTCCTTTAGGAATATTACTAGAGTAAAAGTACAAGTATTTTACCAAAAATACTTTGGTAAAAGTTAAAGTCTCCTTTAGGAATATTACTTGAGTAAAAGTCTTAAAGTATCTGATATGTTTTGTACTTAAGTAGTAGAAATAAAACTATGGAATAAAAACAAGCAGTTAGATTTTCTGTAAGGACATTTATTAGGAGGTGATCTTGCCAAAAATGCAGAAATGACTGTTGTATTAAAATACTTAATTTATGTTAAATTTAGGATGAACTAGTCTGTTTCAGTTTATACTGTATACATACAGTGGATAAAAAAGTATTGAAC